AACATCGTCGCCATTAAGATCCAAAACGGGTCCGGGTCTAGTCAATACCCGCCACGTCAGAAGTTTGTAGCTAGACGAAGCGATGTCGTTTGATCTCAGCCAATGCACCTGACCACCAGACCACACTTTCCGGTTACCTTTGGTTGGTTTCGATGGCATTTTGGTAAATAACTCAGAGGTTGGGGGTGAAGTGGAAGAGTTGACCAGTCTTGGGTTAAGCGGTGGTGGAAGAATCCGGTAAGTCCTGACAATACCATGTTGCCGACCTTCTCGTCTCATCTCGACCGTTAAGTTCTTATAGAAACAAAGAGAAGAGATTTTTTATGAAATGGAAGTTAAAGCTTCAATGATATAAAAGCCAAGAGCTTTAATGGAGGAAGGGATTCAAGGGAATAATATACTCATAAGCGTAAAGATCCAAACAAGAGTAGTTTGTGGGTCAAGTCAATGAGTTGTTGTTGTTACAGATAACGTGCAGATATTAAATCATTTCACAATTTATTGCAATCACCAAAAAGGTCTTTTACTTGGCGCCTAGAAACTGGTCGTATATTACCTCATATTCCCTTATTTGCTGCATGGAAAGTAGAGAATGAAAATGAGAAACGAGTTATAAGAAGGAGGAGGCATTGACATTATTGTATGTTCTTTTTCACAACAAAACACTAACCTCATTTGTGAGACAAGGTTTGAGATTAGTGAAAGCTTGCTCAAAGTGAACCATCTTGATTCTACTCTCACTGGTTGTTGAGTTTATATCTGTGAAAGCCGCAAAACCGGCTTCTTTTACCAAAGATTTAAGATCCGCTCCACTTAGACCCTCGCAGCACTTCATTCTTGCTATGGCGTCACAAATCGACACTCAGATCGATTGGAATATCTCTCACTAGTGATTTCAAAATCGAGTAACGCTGGTCAGGGTTTGGGAGAGATACATAGATATGTCTCCCAAACCTGCCTGACCTTTGTACAGCAGGGTCCATCATGTCCGGCCTAACCCAACAAAATAAAACAAAGAGAGTTAGTGACGACAATCACGAAACAATACTCTACACTTGGATCATAGCCAAGAAAACCTAACCTGTTTGTAGCAGCAATCACAATTACACCTTCTCGTTGTTTTCCGCCACTCAATTCGACGAGCAACTGTCAAATAGCAAATCATTAGTTAGTTTAGCAGTAAGACATGTTTCAGTACAATAATGATTGAGAATGAGATTCAAAACAAATCACCTGATTCAGAGGTCGTTCAACAACCCAAGCACCTTGCTCTCCACGTTTTGTTGTTAAAGCATCCACCTACGATGCCGTTTTTATTTTCATGCAACAATATTTCTTGAATATACAGACGATTAGATTCGACTCCAATTCCTCTTCGATTCTTAAATACAGGCTTTTTTTCGAATTCTTTGCGCATGTTACTTTGAATCACTAACCTCGTCAAAGAAGATTATGCATGGTGAGGCCATCCTAGCACGACTGAACAACTCCCTAATTGCCTTTTCGGTGTCTCCAACATATTTGCTCAGAAGTTCAGGACCCTACACAACACCAAGCACAATATGAAGAAAGAAGATCAGATTTCAATAGGAAGTTGTGACTTTCTTGAGAATACAATTTCCTTGGATGCCACGATACCAGCCTTCTTGGCCAAAGCATGGAAATCCGCACCAACGAATCCGGAAGTCAAGCGAGCAATCCTTGCACAGTCGAAATTGCTGTCAAGTGAAAGGTGGCGCGTACACACAGATAAAATCTCTTCCCTAGCCTTCTCATCTGGCACATCGAGGCAGATCTCCTCTGTCGAATCGCAAAGCTCTTCTAAACGCAGGATCAAGAGCGTCAGGCCTGTTGGTAGCTCCAATGACAATCACATGTCCAGGCTTGGAACCCACGTCATCAGAGGAAAGTTGCCTCTCTTTTTGCTTCACGAGCATATACTTGTCATCCATACAACTCAGTAACTGCGTCACGATACGAGTGTCCATACTCTTGTGCAGATTATCCCTCTTTGATGCAATTGCGTTTAGAGAAGAGTGTCCTGATATTCTCTTCTGGTTCACCTGAAACTCCAGAAACCAACTCAGAAGCAGAAACCATAAAAAGGGGTAGACCAGCTTCGTTGGCGATGGCAGAAGCAAGTGTGGACTTGCCACAACCAGGTGGACGATAAAGCAATATACCAGAAATTGGTTTGATACCAAAACCTTGTACTATGTCAGGACACAAGAGAGGGAGTTTGACCTGAAACATGAGGTCATCCAAAACACCCTTTAAACCACCCAAGTCCTTAAAGGTCGGTCCTTTTACCTCTACATCATAACACTTACCTCCTTGTTCATCACTAGACACAAGTTGATTGGATATAGTAAGAAGCTCGTAGACTCTCACTGGTTATACCAAATTGCTTATTATCTTCCACATTACCGCATGAGGAAGCTGCAGAAGGCAATCCGAATTCCTATGTTTCTTCCTACTTTCCTCTACGATATCTTTTACTCTAGTCATGACGCTTGGGTGTTTCTTACGACCCCGTTCACGGTGCTTGGAACGAAGTTCATCTACAATCTCTTCCACCGATAATCCCTTCAGCCATAATTCTAAAATTACATTCTAAAATATCCGACCATGGATGCCTCCGCTCGTAGCTCTTTTCCTCATCTCCAAAATCAGAGAGGTATAGCAGCAACAACCCTAATTCTCCCCTTCCTACTTATGTAAAGGCCCAACAATATACTGTAATATATATTAGCCAAACCCATGGGAGATGACTAATCAACTAATTTCCGATTTCGGTTACATGAACATAATGGAATTTCAAGGCTCAAATCCGGCAACACTGTACACAAACCGGAGGTTGTTTCTCTATGTTGCAGTTGCAGCAAGCTGTTTCACAATCGTTGTAGCATCCTGCACAAGAAGCAACAACAACAAAAAAGCCATGTAAAAACTACAAGGTACAAAGATCACTTTCTCAAATTCCCTCGACTTATCTTTGTATTCAAAGCTATGGTACCTTCCACAGTGAAAAACAGAGATTTCTCATGTTCCTCAGAACTTAGAAAGAACTGAAACTCTTTGGCTACTGGACCAACATCAGTTGTTATGCCAATAATGACTTAAGGAAACAAAAAAACAGAGCAAGTGTTGTCGGTGACATATTTTCTTGTTTGTTCCAGTACTTGCAGTTATACTTATGCAGTCAAGGAAGTTTAACAACCAAATCTATTGCTAAGCTATAACACGCTGTGTTCATGTGTAGACACAAGTACATGAAATGTTTTTATAAAATGACAATGCATATGGAACACAAAAGAGTAGATGATATGTAGATGAGGTTTAAGTTCTCTCGAGTTTTATTACTTAAAAGAGAGAATTTGCAAGATACTTGAGAGGACTTGCAAAAGGGTTTTTTCAAGTGCGCTTATATTTGGTAACAACAATACAATAATTAATTGAAAATCCCAAGGTTTTGTGAAGATTTGTGAAGGATTTGTTCTCCTTCGGCATCTCTGAAATTTTTATTTTCATTTTTTATATGAAAATAGCGAAAGCCCTAGTCCCTAAATCGATTTGGGGTTTTTATTTGATTAAATTAAGCACATTTTTTAATTTTTTTTGTTACAAACAAAAACACGGTTTTATTAACATAGCGGACTTAACTGTGTTTTTATTAACATAGCGGACTTAACTATTTCGCCCCTTAAAATGTAGGTGCGACCAAAATTCATACTTTGAAGGTTTAATATGTTAACATTGTCACTTTGGATGTTTAAAATGTTAGTGCTAAACTTTAGAGGTTTAAAGTATTAGTGGTCGCTCCTTTGGAGGTTTTTTATGTTTTTTTCCCGTTTATTAACGACCCAAATCGGCCCACAGTTTTTAATACTAATAGGCGGAAAGTTGAAAAAATATTAAACAAGATTATGTGAAGAGCGGGAAAACAAAAATATGGGTTCGTATAAGCTAAGCGGGAAGTTGAAAAAATATTCGTCTCTCATCGAATTAAAATTACATCATAAATTATTCATCGAATAAA